AAGAATGCCAGTTGACAACCTGCAGTAGCAGAAAGCGAAGTTCACCAAGACTCTTAAGCCCGCATACAGAGGAAGAGGGCGTCCGCAACAGACGCGAGCACTAGGAATGTTGGAAGTTTTGTGGTGGGCCAGCTGGTGAGCGTCTTCGCCCCATGTAGGCGGTGTGGTAATGCAGAGAAAAGACAGGAGGAATACTTGAAGATGAAAGGAATTTTCAACGGTGCGATAATACTCGCGGCAGCCGGCTTGTCTGCGTATCTCGCGCAGGTGAAGAGGCATGGACTGTGCTTGCACTTGCGCGGGCACACGGTGGGTACCATCTATTCATTACCCAATAGTACACAGAAGATATCAGCACAATAAGGTACTTCTACACGGTTATGCTCACGTATATATGCATAAATATAAGTGTATACATATATACCTATACGTATATGTATACATATTGGTCTTCACATATATGTTTACACACATGGCTGTTGGCACATCGAGTACAAGCCGACATGCTTGAGGCGAAGATCCGCGTTCATCAACGTACGCCGCACGGTGTATACAGGGATGCCTAACTACATGCGCAAAGGCGCACAGGCTCGAGGGCGTACCTGAAAAAGCGTGAGTACGTCCCACGGCAGACGTCTGTGCCCCCATTGGCCCCACTTTCCTTTTAGCCTCACGAAGTGATCGTACATGCTCCGGTCTGTCCACAGGCATGAGTATCGATATATATATATGAGTATACTTGTGCCCCCATTGGCCCCACTTTCCTTTTAGCCTCATGAAGTAATCGTACATGCTCCGGTCTGTCAACGGCTTGAGTATCGATATATATGTATATATATATATATATAAGTATACTTACGTACGTTTATATACCCGTACTTGTATAAATATATGTATGTAAACATATATTTGTATATATATATATATATATGTATGTACATGCGAGCGTCTGTGGACAGGGTATAAATGCACTCAAGACAGGATGCTACCTCTGGGGCCTGCACCGAGTGAAGACAGACGTACGCGAACGCGATTCCTCTGTAGCTGCGCGGCTGTGCGAAGAGATGAAGAACAGTTAACTCCTCGCGGGTGTTCGTGTGCGCGATTCGTATATAGGATTGTCATACATATATACACATATATATATATATATATATGGATGTATACATACGTGCATACACATACGTGTATCTCTACATAGATATATACATGTATGCATGGCGCGCGCTACGTCCCTTACTCTCCGCGGCACACAAGACTTATCTGAGACTATATATCTGTTTATGTATGTGTCTATATACGCATTGAGTCGTTCCCAGTGAATATGAATATATTAGTGTGTGCATTGACAAACGTGTCGATAGAGACAATCTCGAGCTTCTCTTCATCTCGTTCTGTTTTTGTGTACACCGCGGGACTTGCAAGGAGGTGGTGTCGGTCTGTGTGTGTACGTATGTACACGCGGGTGCATAGACATCTGGACGTGAGTTGTAAGCGAGAGGCCGGACGATCAAGGAAGTCAGGAAGTATAATTTACTTTTATGTCTTTTCTTTGCATTGGCGTGAAACTGTTAATTGAAAAAATAAGAGATCTCATGCATTTATTTGCGCTCGCGTCGAATTCTACAATCAGAGCATCCAAATTCTGTGATTCATTCGCTTGCATTTGCCGTGAAGTTGTACAGTTTGAAGCGGTAGAAAATACAACGCATTTACTTGAACTTGCGAGCAGCTGCTCAGTTCGGAAAAGCAAGAGACCTGATGCATCTACTTGCCTTTGGGTGAACCTGTACGCTCAAGAAAATCAAGAAGTACAAGTCAGTTCCTGGGCTTCTATAAGATTACCCAATTTAAAACAGCAAGAGGTCCTGTGTTCTCCTGCTTTCGTGTGGCCTTGTACGATCCAGGGACTCGAAAGATATGACTCATGTACTTGCCTTCGAGTGGAACTGTGAAATTTGAAATACAAGAGATGTATCATATATAATATGTTTGGTTGCGTTTGACTGAGGCCGCAGGTCAAAGAAGTTAAGAGGTATAAGTCGCGTACGTGCATATGCGTCAAACCGTTGCGTATGAAACGACAAGCGGCGTAAAACATCTGCTTCCCCGTGCGTGAACCTGTACGATCAGGAAAAACGTGAGTCTGTGATGTGTTTACTTGCACGTGGCGTGAAGCTGTGCCATTTGAAATAACTGGAGCCATAATATATTTATATGGCCTCGAGTGTGACTGTACCATTTGAAAGAACAAAGTACGTAATGAATTCACCTGCTTTTGAGTGAATCGTTCGGCTGGACAAGTTGACCGATGTACGTTATCAACCTGCTTTTGAACAAAACTGTCTGATTTGAAAAGAGAGGAAATATAAATCGTTTACTTGCGCTTGCGTGAAACCTTGAGAAACTTCAATTCTACGCTTCACGTGCTTGCCCCCGGCGTGAGTCAGTAGTAATTGAGAAAAGAAGAGATATAGTATACATACTTGCCTGGTGTAAGAAGGAATCAAGATATACACGCGATTTACTTGCCTTTGAGCGAGACAGTTCAATTTGACAAAACAAGAGGTACCATTCACTTACTTTCGCTTGGGCCGAATGTGCATGATTCAAAAGACGAGCGAAATGTAATAGGTTTTCTTGAAGTTGCGTGAAACTGTCCGTTTCGCCAAAACAAGATATACAATGCGGTCACCTGCATCTGAGTGGATCTGTAAAGTTAGAACACTGCAGATGTATAGGTCATTCACGTGTCTTTGAGTGAGATCCTACAAGTTGAAAGGACACCACATATCTAGGTGCGTCTGAGCTAAACTGACAATTGAAGAAGCCGGGAAATACAAATCATTTGCCTGCCCTCGGGTGAAGCCGTAGAGCCGAAGTATGAAGGGATACAAATCCTTGACTTTCACCTGAGTGAAACTGTACGATTCGAGAAAAACAAGACAGATAATGTATTGATCTGGAGTGAAACACTACACATGGAAAAAGCAGGAGTTCTACCATGTCTGCTTGGCTTTGTGTGAAACTGTGCCGTCAAATAGATCAGGCCACGTCATTCGTTTATGTGCACCTCTGATAATGTACAATCTGAAACAAGGCGTATCACCTGTTTAGTTTGGGTTGCGTCATACACAGCAGCCAAGTAAGCTAAAACTCCATAATGTATTTCTTTGCATCTGCATGACACCTTAGAACATGCTAAGAGATATGATTCGAATACCTGCACTTGGAGTGGAACCGTAAATGTTGAGACAGCAAGAGATGTCATGCATCTACTTGCACCTGCGTAAAACAATGGGGTCTTAAAGAACACCGATCTGTCGGCGTGCACTTGGCGGAAAGTTGTATAATTGAGCAGAAAAGAAGAGAGAGATAATATTTCCTCTTCCTTGCGCTTGCGTGAAACTTTTCCATCTGTAGGCTTCAAGAGGGATGTTTTCTCTATTTGCACTTGGCCGGAAACGAGCGAATCTGGAAAGAAGAGGAGACATCTATGTATATGTGTACTGGCGTGAAGTTCTATGAGCTTCAAGAGATCTGGTGTATCTTCTTGCACTTGCGCGAAATTCAAACAGAAAGAACAAGACGTGTCATTCGTTCACTTGCACTCACGTGAAACTCCGCAATCGGAGAGATCGAATTTTAACATTTATCTAGCTGCATCTGTGCGAAAATGTACAATGTGAAAGACTGAGAGATACCATTCGTTGACTTGCACGTGCGCGAAACTGTACTATGTGAAAGACGGAGAGGTACCGTTCATTGACTTGCACGGGCACCGAACCCTACAGGCAAGGAAATTGGGTCTTATTATCCATCTGCTTGCATATGCGCGAAAGTGTACAACTTGGACCGGAAGACATCTAGTGTATTCACTTGCCTTTGAGCAAAACTGCATGATCGAAGGTACTGGGAGATGAATTTTATTTTTTCGCGCCAGCGTGGAGCTGTACGGTTCGTAGAGGCAAAAAACATTTTTCAGGTATTCGAGTTTGCATGAAATCGTCTGTGTGACTGCTGTTGGGTACTGAGCACTCTGAACATATAAACGCATATATATATATATATATATACACTACGTGTGTTTTCACTAGGTTAATCGCGTATTCAAGCAGTAGAGTATATATATATATATATATATATATATATATATATATATATATATATATATATATATGTATATATGTATGTATATATATATGAATATATGTATGTGTATATATATATATATATATATGTATATATGTATGTATATATATATATATATATATGAATATATGTATGTGTATATATATATATATATATATGTATATACATATGGGTAATTTGATATCACAGACTTATCGTGGAAGGGAGTCGATGCGTCGTGAGACTGTGCCATTACGACAGACAAAAAAGGTACTTTCATTGTTTGCATTTCGATGAAAATGTACACTTTGAAGAAACAAGGAAAAACGAGTCACATGCACTTGTGCGAAGCCGTACACCACGGAGAAAAAAGAGATACACTTTTAGTATTTGCACCTGTGTATGTGTATGTGCTTACCTGTATACGAATGTCCACATGTGCTTGACATGCGTGAAACTGTACTGGAAACCTGAGACGTACTCCATTCTCAAGCGCGTAAAACTCTCCACTTGAAGAATTGAAAAGGTCTCCCCCGACTACATGCATACACAATTAAAACTCTGCAATTAAGGAACCAAAGAGGTCTCGTCTAATATCGTATCTGTGTATATATACGCACCTGAAGCAATGCAGTCGTAAAAATAAAGAGGTCTCATCTGTTTACGGCACTTGCGTGAAACCGCACAGGCTAAAAGAACGAAAACTTTTGTCGACTTCCGTCCACCTGCCTGAATCTGTACACTTCATAGAAATAATAGGAAGACTATTTACTTACGCGCAACGGACTCACGTTTGTGTACGTGCCTCGTCTTCGTACGCGAATGTCCGCATCTGCTGGACATACGTGAAACTGGACAACTCAAGAATTTCAGCGATAGATTAACATGCCTGCCTCTCGTATGTTAGACTCCTTCTCGTGCACGTGCATCTCGACGTCTGCTGGGCACACGTAAAGCTGCGCCGTGGGTTGAACCAACAGGTATAGTCTACTTGCATCTGCGAATGTCTTAGGACACGGATGGTCGCACCTGCTGGACACATATAGTACTGTACAACCTGCAAGCCGTTTACCCGCACTCGCGTATGTCTAAGCGATTATCAGTACAGCGGTGCCCACATGTGTTGGACATACGTAAAGCTGTGCGACGAGTGGAATCGACAGACAGAACTTACTTTCTTACACTCGCATGTGCCCACGTGCGTATCTCTGCGCCTCTGCCGGACGCAGCGGAAACTGTACCCTGTGAAGACTGAGGCGCTGGATTCTCTTGCCTACAGGTTCGTATATCTTGTTCCTTATCTTCCTGTACACGAGTGCCCGCATGTGCCGACATACTTCCGACTGTACGATCAAGAATATGGACTTCACTCAGTTCTGCGTGCGCCTCTGTCCGACTGCTTACCTGCACTCGAACGCTTACGTCTGCTGGGCATACAGCAGCACCATTTGAAATATAGAGAGAAATAATCTACTCAGTGACCCTTGCGCATGTGTAGGTGCCTTCAGTCTGCACAGAAATGTGCACAAGTGCCAGGAATAGGCGAAACTGTGCGATTGAATGAGTGAAGTGATACAGTTTTTTCACTTGCATTTGCGTGTGTCTGGACGTTTACCTGCAGAAGAATGTCCACAGGTACCGGACAGCGCAAGCTTGAAAAGTGCAGGGATATATTTTGCTTTGCTTGCAGCTGCGTTTGTCACTGCTCTTACCTGTGTACGAGGCCCGCATGTGTTGGAGATATATGAATCTGTCTAATAGGAAGAATCAACAAGAATGCTTCACTTCCTTACATCTGCCTATGCCCAAGTGCTTACCCGTACGCGCATACCCGCATGTCCTGGACATATAACTGTACCAGTGGACGGATGGTGAGAGCTGGTCTGCTTTCTTATAATTGCATATGTCTAAGTGCCTGCCTGTGCACGAAGGTCCACATGTTCTGGACATCGTTCTGACTCTACACTTGCAAAGTCGAGGAATGCAACTGATCTAGTTGCGATAGCCGCTGTCTCAGAGACTAACTGTACACGAATGTGCTCCTATGCTGGACATACGTCAAAGCTCTACTATGGATCAATTCGACAGATACGATTCACTTACATTTTCGTGTGCTAGCGGACAGCCACGCAGGCGTCTTTTCTGTGCATACGTTGGTTTTATTTGAGGTGTTCGCGAAGACTTCGAGTTGCTGAACGCTAGGTGTTGAAATCACTGCGCGTCGGACGTGCATATACTTCTTCCCGCGGGAATATAACACGTGTCTATTTACATATAGCTGGTGACAGATATGCGCTATCAACATGTCTAGGCTTCTACAGCAGATACATATCTGCATATGGCGTGTGGTAGATATGTGTCTATCGATGTACTCAGGCCTTCAGAGGTTGTACGCTTCAGCGCCAGCACAGTGGAAAACCAGCATTCCACAGGCAAAGCTCCTCTCCCTCGTCGCTTCCTTCTACGTGTCTACATATAGCTCGAGACGATTAATAGTATGTGTGCGTCTCCCCCACGTCGAGGTTCTATATACTACTGCCAGCGGAGCATAGCGCTTGCAAACCTGCATGTAGCTCGTGATAAGTGTGCATCCGCCCATGTATAGGCCTCTACAGCACATACGTATGCACATATAGCCTGTGACAGATACGCATGTATCAGCGTACACAGGCCTCTAGAAGCGGTAGGCCTCAGCTGCAGGATGCTCACCACGGGTCTCGGCACGGTGTCGTTCTCGTTAATTCGTACGCGGAGTGCCTCGCTCGGCTTTGCTTCGCTCTACAGGTCCCAGAGGCGCACAAAGCCGCTTTTTATATCGAGAAGTAATGTACCACCCTTACACCATGTTATACAGGTCATACATGGGAAGAGGGCAGTTGTAAATCGCTGTTGTACACCGCATTAAAACATGTCACATACGTTCCGAGGGCGGAGAAGCTGTTGTGTACCTATGATGTGCCCCACTAAAGCCTGTTACGTACATCTGAAGTGGCGAGAAAGCTGTTGTACGCAGAGAAATCATATGCTCGGCGTCCCAAGTGGGAGAACGCTGTTGTATGCCGAGGTAATATATTTGCCACTGAAACATGTTACACATGTCCTCGGTGAGAGAAAGCTATGGTCTATCGGGAAATAAGATACCCAACTAAAACATCTTACGCACCTCTCAGGTGCGGAGAAAGCTCCTGCTTTCGAAAAAAATACGACGCCTCCAGTAGAGGATGTTACATACTCCCTAAGCGCGGAGAAAGCTGTTGCAGGCCGAAAAATAATACGCCTCGCTGAAAGTTGTTGGACACATCTCATGTGAGGAGTAAGCTGTTGCATACCGAAAGAGTATACGCGCCATTACCAGAAGCCACGTACGTCCTAAGTGGGAAAAAGCTGTGCCCTACTGACGAATCACGGATCGCAGCTAAAACACGCTGCACCATCCTAACGGTTGTATACACCGACACTATGTACCCGGCGTCCTGAGTGCGGAGAAAGCTATTGTACGCCGAGGAGCCTTGAGACTAGAACGGGTTACACACGTCCGAAAAGCGGAGGAAGCTACCGTACTCGGGAAATTAGTATGACTCGAACATGTCACGTATGTCCTAAGAGCGGGGAAAGCTGTTATATACCGAGCAATACCATCTCCCACCAAGGGGCAATACATACATCCTGAATGCGAAGCAAGCTAGTGTTCTCAGGAAAATTACATACCCCGGCTAAAACGTGCTACGCAGGTCTTAGATGCGGAGAAGTGTACTGTATATGGAGAGATGGTATACTTTGCGGACAAAACTTGGGTATACCGAGAAGATTATATAACTGAGGCACGTCACATAGGTTGGAAGTGCGGAGAAGGCTATGGAGTATTAAAAAATGATATACCTGGAACCTGTCACGGAGATCCTTAGCGCGGAGAAAGTCGATGTATACGGAGGACGCATCTAACTGGAACATGCTACAGGGGTCTTTAGTACGGAGAAAGCCGTTGCATGCCGAGTAATGACGCACCTCAGTGAGGCGCGTCACATCCGTCGCAAGTGCAGAGAGAAGCGTTGTGTACCGCGAAGGTATATACTCCCTGTCCAGCCTGCGAGAGCGTAGTGTATACCGAGAAAATATAGACCGCAGTGAAACATTGTATACACGACCCAACTGCGGAGAAAGCTGTTCGACACCGGGAGATTATGTACCCCGCTAAAGACCTTACGCACATCTTCATGGACCCTTCTGAGTTGCGTTTGTCGTGCCGTACATCTGTTAGGCTCAGAGCGGCACACATACACGCACACACCGGGTTTTCAGCAACGGTAAAGAAAGTTGGTCTCCTCACGCTTAACGGGTATGCAAACAGATATATATACATATGGAGCTCCGCTTTAGAGCGGCACGCATTCACACGCATATTAGCGCTTTAACGAAGGCGGGAAAAGGTGGACACTTCGCAGCTACGTGTCTGCATATGTAAACATACGTCTGCATATATGAAGCCTTTGCTTAGCTCTGCACACAATACACACATGCGGCTTCTGTTACGGTGGTAGAAGGCAAGCGCTTCACAGTTGAGCCTATAAATACGTAACCATATAATTACATGTTCGGGGAAGCCCCCTTCGATACAGGCCCACAGAAGTTCGGATGGAGGCTCCTGAGTGACGTATACAACTTTGCAAATATGCAAGTACATACTTACATACAGGGAGCTCACATATATAAACACTTGCGACTACCCTGGTAGTTGTTCAAAATCCACATGTACCCTTTTGAAGGTCTGGATCCCGTAAAGCAGACCCTTCAACAGTTTCGTTCGAGCTGGCAGGTACACACGTCCTGTCCCTCTGCACGTGGAAAAAGGCTTGCGTCCGTGCTTGTACACTTGTGTATGCTGCTGTGAAAGACCCTCTATACACCTGTACCAAATCCACACGTAGACCTTCAGCGCTCGTTGTGTACATATGACGGCATTTGTTTACACTGTAGCAAATGGGCCGTATGAAGCTGTCCCATGTACTGGCTTCGGTGTTTTTCAGGAGGCCTTGTGTGCATACTTATACACTTTTGTACAACGCAGTAAGTGGCCCGTATAAACCTGTCCCGTCTACTCGCTTTGTCGTTCTCCAGGAGTCCTAGTGTACAAACATGTACACTGGTGTATGCTGCAGCACATTCCCCTCCACTATGAACCTGTATCACCCAAATGTGATGTGGAACTTTACGACTCCATGCGTGCGCACTTGTACACTATAGCAGAGGGACGCCTATGGCTCTGTACCAAGTACTGGCCTTGTACTTCTTCACGATTCCTAGTGTACCTACTTGCACACCGGTCGGAAAACCCCCTATAAACCGCTGCCAATTAATCCGCATGTAGATCTTCAGAACTCCCTGGGTATTCGCCGGGAAATGGGGCCTTCCAGATTTGTACCATGTACTCCACTTGCACTTTTCTTCACGACTCTTTCTTCTGCACGTGAGGGTCGGATCGCTGGCCCTCCTTTCCCTCTCTTCTTCCTTCACGCTCTGTTGAACGTTCCCGTGGCGCAACATCGCTTGGCTTCTTCATGAAAGGAAGCCACTCCACCTTAGCCATCGTGAATAGCATCAGGGCGTTGGTCTGTCACAAAAACAAATTGGGGAGCACAGCTGGTGTTGAAACATATGGTATAAAGACTTGTTAACTTGAGGGACGTACACGCCCAACTCGCATGTGCAACAGCCTTCACATATGCCCTGCAGACAATGTAGAGCCTGATGAAAGCTGCAGTACTTAAGGAGCGTGAACTGCTATGCACGCACACTCAGATAGGCACCAGATCTGCGTATTTACTGCATATGAATAAGGTCGGCGTTGCACACACTCAACCCTCGCCATATTCGCTGCAGCCAATATATGACGGGTGCATAGGAACAAGGATAGCCAGTATACAGCGCGTGCATAGTCAGTAGCGAACCTCTACATCATAAGTGCCCAGTCTCGGCACTTACGGCAGTGAATCATGAAACGGTGTCGCCTACTCGTGTTGAATTGCTGCAGGCACATACTCCACCAAGGCGGCATATCGGCGGATTCACTACACACAGACACACCGGCGCTGCAGACACTGAATGCTCAACGCACACGATCTGACGAAAGCCGCGTCACCTACTTTTGTCAAGCAACTATACACGCACACTCGCACGGGCCACCTATTCGCTTGTGCACTAGATACAAATACGACAGGGCGCGGCGCAGACACAGCCACCCGCACATGCACTAGAGAAAATATGTAACATGATGAAGGCTGCGTAACTAGACTCAATTGAAGTGCTGTAGACGCATGCTTGCACAGGCAGCCACCGTGCCGTATTCAGTACAAAACATAACTCGATGAAATTTTACGTCATCTGCTCACGTCTGAACCGTCTTACATACAGAATACACTAGGCGACCATCTCCGCGTATTCATTGCGGGCAATAAATGGTACTATGATAGCTGCGTCACCTAAATATGTTGAACTGCTGCGCACGCACACTCAAGGCAGAAACCATCTCGGCGTATTCGCACCTACCTCGCCGCTGCACACTCCAAACCGCATATGCTACAGCCTCGGCATGCTCACCGCAGCCAACATATAACTCGGTGCAGGCAGCGTCTCCTACTTCTCTCGAGATGCTGTACATGCGCACTCCCAGCCGGCGTATTCGTTACAGATACTATATAACCGTATGAAAGCTGCGTTACTTACTCAGATACGGACATCCATCTGGGCGTATACTACAGACAATACACAACATGAGGAAGGTTGAGTCAACTATTTTTCTGAAGTGCTGTACACGCGTACTGCCGATAAGCAGCCACCACTTTCATTGCAGATAAAATATAGCTTGGTGAAAGCTGCGTCACTAACGCAAGTCCGACGCGTCACACATACAGAATCCACTAGGCAACCGTCTGGCCGGGTTTCACCACAATGTCTAAGTCGAGCGCAGCCGCGTCACCTGATCATGTTGGACTGCTGCAAACGCACGGGCTTATGAGCGGCCGGACGCATTCATTACGGACAAACGTATACGCGGTGAAGGCTGCGTCGCCTACTCACGTTCGAAGTGCTGTACACAGAAGACCGATTAGGCAACCAGCTCCGTGTATTCACTACAAACGTTATACAGCTCGACGAAAGGCATCACCTGCGTACACTGAACCACTGCAAAGGCGCGCTCTATAGGCAGCCGCCTGTTATGTTCTTCCCAGAAGTTGTGTATGTGTATCTTTGTCTGTGTATACGCGTTGGCATAAGCAACGGTGCGCTGGTTGGGGTCGGCTCACCACACATTCAACCGCCTACAACGCAAACCCCGGCCACGCAAGTGTCCTAGCTGCTTCCGCCTAGGAGTCGTCTGTCTGGGTTTCTGCCGCTGTATACATGTTAAACGTGTGTACGTGCACGGAAACCTGGTTCTTTTATCTGTGTACAGCTGTCGCTCCTGCTGCGGCGTAGCTGGGGGTCAAACGATTGTAGCGCAAGACAAAAAAGCAATAAACAAGAGCCACTCGATCTTCCTATAGATTCGCTGCGTCGCAGATGATGAGCGCCTCATTATTGGTACCCCGCAGCGAACGAGTTGCATGTTGACTGTGCCAAAAGCAAGCGGTTATACATGCAACTGTTGTGGTAAGCGCAGCCGTTCAAGGATACATGTAGGTTCGCTTGAGCATTGCTCGGGACAATCAGATATATATATATGCATGTACAGGCGCGTAAATAATAGATAAAAAGGCTCTGCCTCCTAGCCTTATCATCGTATATTTGCCTAGCAGCCTCTGAGAGCTGTCCTGGCTGCGTATGTTCCTGTGCATTTACGCATCTAATGTGCATTTTGGAAAAATTTTCCTCTTATATCGTGTCAGCCCGTAAGTCTGAAAAGCGACGGAAGACGTCAGCACGCATGAGTGGCAGCGGCTATTGCCTTGGACCCATTCTATAAATTTCGCCGTTGTGCTGGAAACGCGGGCGCCTCTGAAGAGCGCGGCACCACTTCAACAGGCATATATGTAAATACATACATACATATATACGTATATACGCATATGATGCGCCCGAATGCGTCCGTATGTAGGCGTACGTCTACACATATGTACATGATATTTATCTGCATATTGATTGATCTGTACAATATACCATGTGTGCGTATACGTGACAGCAGTACGTGCCATCCTGTGCGTGAGGCTACGCGTGAATGCCCAGGAGTTTGTCCAGCCCTGACGAGGTTGCAATGCATACAACACATACGCACTGAGATGCATAACATTCCCGCACGCGTCTATACCACCTCGTACAAAAAGTACCGGAGGACCGTAACCAGCTGCCAAGAGCCGCCGCAAACAGCTAAGTATCCGTCGGTTACACATTATTAGAAATGGCTGCAACCTGTGTGTGCAAGCAATATATATCTAGGTCTATTATGTCAACTACGTTCCGGCAAACGCGACTGGAATCTCACATGTATATAGATGTGTACAGTGACTACCAACGCTCCCGCGCATGTACCTGTTAGCTTCGGCTTCAGCTGGCTTCCGTACAAGGCTATATGTAGTCAGGGTCTGCGCCAGCCAACAGGTATACAGAAGACGCGCAAGCCATGAAGGTGTGTAAGTACGGTGCGTCCGTACCGCGCTAGCGCCGGATAGCTAGGGCCACGAACATTTGCTGTGTCCCCCCATTTCGAACTGTGTGCGCATGTGTGTGGTGTCTCTGTTTTTCCGCGCAAGCCGGGTATGTTGACTTCTAAGAAGCTACTCCGGCTTATATGCGCCTGGGAAGCGTAAGGATAGCACTGAGTTTTATAGGAACACTAACACTCACAGCGTCGTAAATGACCCGCACGTTCATCTAGGTGCGTACAGATGCCGCTATCTATCTATCTATCTATCATATCTATATATATATATATGTATATATACACGACTGCTTAGGTAACTGCGTACATATGTCGTTAGCCCACACACTTTTCTCTATATATATGTATACACGTATTTGCAGTTGCTTACCGAGCTGCGTACGTATGCCATTTTCGTTCTCTGTCTCTTTTTTCATTTCTCTCGCTCTCTCTCTCTCGCTCTCTCTCTCCGCTCTCTCTCTGCACTGTCTCTGTCTCTGTCTCTGCCTGTGTCTATGTCTCTGTCTGTCCCTCTCTCTCTCTGTATATATATATATATATATATATATATATATATATATATATATATATATATATATGGCCCTTCTGGCTTCGCCCATGCGCGGGTCTACGCAACAGCGCTGCGCGTTCGGTTTTGTAGACGCGCACCAAGCCCCTTACCATTCCAGCGAAATCACAGGACAAACGAGCTGCAGGTTAACCAGTACTCACCAATAAGATACCCGCGAGCAGTAGGGCAGAAGAGTCCCAACACGGCTTGTACGATGTAGCACAAGTAGAGCGTCGCAGCCTGAAAGCATCACATACCAGCACAATCATGCAAATACACGGATATAGATACGTACGAGTATAGAGGTATACACATGTTTGCACTATGTGCAAGTTTCCGTCTGGCGGAGGCTATATGCGGACATACACGCCTAGCACCTCGCGTTAGTCCGCAACTGCTGGCTATATGTATCAATACAGGCACATACATATATACATAAGATATATATATATATATATATATATATTTGTTGTTGAAAAGCATCAACTTAGGCATGGTCTGTTGCGTGCTTTCTAAAGCTAGGAATGCACTTGGGATGAAGTACAGAAACCACCTGTGTACTGAATAGGATCCAGGGAGTTAGGCGTTTATGCCTGTACAAGGGCAATTTTTTGACAAATAAACGCCTAGTCGTTGCCGCGTGGCCTTGCAAGGATGCAGGTTCACACGTACGAGAGCGGCGAATTCTGCGTCTACTCAAATGATACGGACAAACAATCTAGACAAACAATCTAAGAGCAAATCATCACTCCGGCGAAGGCATGCCTGGAGCTTCTGTCGTTGTCACTGCGATACCTGTACAAAGTGCGTCCGCTGACGTACACATAGAGGATAATCTTCATGTACACATGTGTATATGGTCAGCCGATAGGTAAGCGCGTACTTTTTAGTTACGTGCGGATGTCCACCGCGCGCGGGCACAGATTTGCACAGAAAGTCGCGTGAGTGCCGACAATGCAAATGCGCACATTTGTCTGACCGCACACCCGCAGCTACTGTCACTGTCACTGCGATACCGGACAAACTATAGCATTTGTCGTATACATATATAACTATATATATGAATACATTTGCATTGTCACCTGGTAGGTAAGCGCGTACATTTTAGTCATGTGGGATGTCCAACATATAGGGGCATACTTGTGCACAGAAAGCCGCGTGAGAGCCAATCATGAAAATACGCACATTCGTGCGATAAGAAGTATACCCCGCGTACGCTACACGGACGTGTATGCGTGAAAAATAACTCATGCGGACGGGCGCAAAGCTGGTAGAGTATCCCTCAGTCAAGAGCCGCCAAGCCAGGCGTCCTCCTTCAGTAAGTCCGGTGTACAGGGA